TGCATATAATTCTTTGAAAAGATAAAAACAAAAAATCATAATCAAACGCTCATTATTTTGAATTGGTAAATGCAACTAAAATTCCTGACAACAACGCTTATTTCCATAGGTGTTTTCTGGCGTTTAATCGTATTCGAGCGTGTATTCAAAAACGATTCGTGGTTACGTCATTAACTCAGAGTAATAATTAGACATAGAGTTCCCATGCCTATACCAATACAATATATGTATTTTGAAGCGAGTATCGTACTATCCTTTTCTGTACAATTTATGGGCGAGGGGGGTGGCGGATAACGAGGGGTTATGGAGAGTTTGTTTGCATTTGAAGTACGTTGGACCATAAAACAGTGGCGGTTGGTTTAATTGATAATCGGAGCGATATTATATATTTATAAAATAAATCATTTCAAGTCAAAATGTATTCTGTTTAAATAGTTCCTACAGGAAATCTGACTTTTATTAATGATTATGGAAATGAGGCCAGTTTTTCTACCACCTACTAGATTTTTATTCATGTATGGCTTTATAATAAAGCGCGTGGTTTACTGGGTTAAAATTAAATTATTTCAAATGAACTAATTCATAACAATGATAAATGTTAATTTTAAAAGTAATGAACTTTGCTTCATATAATCAGATGAAGAAATTTGTGATTTATTCTCAGATTTGATAAACAAGCAGTACGGTTTGCGAGGTCCGATATAAAGAATTTTCGATTAGAAATCATGATTTCATTCAAATTTGGTATCAAGGAGTCTTTGTGGACCGACATTATGAAAGGGGATATTTTTGATGTTTTTAATGGAAGGAAAAAAATAAACAGCACAAAGGATTGAGTTGGCTAAATCTTCGCTTTTCATCGGTCAGAAGAATAAAAAAAATACTATATGATAAAATTATATAATTATTGCATTTCTGAATCAAATTTATCCACATTGAATACTTTTTATAATTGACACAATCGCCTTTTAATCATATAATATTACATACTATAACACGCTCAAAAATAACAAAGATCATGAAACCAAACATTAGTTATGAGATTCATGCATCGACATAACCTTAATCCCATTAATCAAAAGAGTGCAAATCTGGGAGAGTTTCATCATATTTTCAACGATCTGAAAGAAGACGGGGAGAAATTTTTCTAGTATTTCGGAATGACTCTAGGCAAATTTTCAGAACTTCTGGATATTCTAAAGCCTGCCTTAACCAGTAACTCAATTTTTTCTCGTCCATTTTCCTAGGTACCGTCTGACACTGTGCTGTCAACTGATGGAAACAACAGAAAGACAGAAACTTCCCAGGCACTTTTGGACAAGTTGATGCTGGCCGGCAACGCGCACTTCTCCAGTCCGTCACAGCACGTTCCGTTATTTGCCGGTCAGGATCGGAGAGCTGGAATCCTTTCTGGGGGTGGACGCTATTGGCTGTGCCGGGGCTACTGGGCGGTAGTTAATTCATTTTCATTGTTTCAATCCTATCCGTATTATGCAGTAACCATTTATATTCAATATTGATGTAGTATTTTTTAAAAATTCATTCATGTCAAGGTTGGGGGATGCAAAACCCTCTTAAAATTCTCAAGCAAACCATATTCCCTGTTTTATTGGTATGCTTCAAGCGTCTCTTATTCCAGTGTAACTAAGTTAGTCTACAGTGTTGAAAAGTGGTTCAGTATTTCTAGATACTTCTATAAATGTCGTCCGAATATAAGAGCTCCTGATTTGGTAACCTTCTCAGCACTTATTATTGAACTAGCCACCTGCTTGGCTCCACACGGATGTGATGCTGATACTGAATATACATATAAACGCGTGCTATCGCTGCTAATCATAAAGTGCCATAGGGCGAAGCGCGGCCTTGGACGCGCTATTCATAGGCACGTGCAATCAGCCCCTCGACCGGTACCGCCACAACCGTTATGTCCCTGCATTTTAAATGTGTAATATTTTCAAAAATATTAATTTAAATTACATGCTGTAAAGGGTAATATTGATGCATATTGAAAGCATAATGTTTTTAAGGTACCTATACAATGATGTACCTATTGGTTCAAATTGATTCATGAATGTGCCATTATTTCTCTAAAATAAAAAATGGGCACTTAGAGATAGACGTATACCATCGCTGGACTTTTTTGTAAAACTTTTTGAGGTGTACAATACTGTAGTATATTTTTTCATTTTTTATTTATCTCGTAGGGTTCACTGTTTCTCTACTATATTATGCATGTCATATACATATAAACCTTTCCCTTGATTCGTTCTACCTATTAAAAAACCCCCATCAAAATTTGTTTTGCGTAGTTTTAAAGACTTAAGCATACATAGGGCAAGAGAGCGGGGAGCGCTTTTTTTGTTTTATACTATGTAGTGATTTCCATAGAATATTAAGAACCGACTAGCGCTCTTGCCACCGCAAATCAAGATCTAATCATTCCAACAAGGCAGATGTACTCTTGCCCAAGATCCAGAACCAAGCTAGGAAACGATTCAAGAATTTGGCGTCCCACGTTGGACGCGTTTTATTAAAGTCTCTTAAAAAAAAGATCTTAAGACCATCAAGTCTACTTGCGCCCTTGAAACAGAATATGCCACCTGTGGAGAAGTCACGGGGGCCCTGTCCGAAATGAAAACCGGAAAAGATCCTGATTTTGATGGCATCCATGCTGAATTCCTAAAGCATAGCGAAAAATTTACAAAACAATGGCTTGCAATTTTTTTCAGACATCCTCAAGACGGGCAATGTACCTTATCAACTTTAAAGGGCAAAAATCGTCGCTATTTTGAAACCAGGGAAAGCAAATGATACACCAAAAAACTATCGTCCAATTGTCCTTCTAAGCATGGTCTACAAACTTTATACTACTATAGACTACTATATAACAGGATTGGCCCAACAATACTGCAACATATACCTGTGGAACAAGCAGGATTTCGTCCGGACCACAACTGCACAGACCAAGTACTCGCACTAACTGGAAAATGGCTTTCAAAAGAAACTAAAAATATTTACTGCTTTCATAGACCTGTCAGCGGCATCCGACACTGTGTGGCAACAAGGAGTTATATATAAATTAATGCGATCTATCCCATGCAGAAAGATGGCTAATGTTTTCAATGCCATGCTATCCAACAGATCTTTTCAAGTCATTATGGCCGACAAAACCAGTACAAAAATGAAACTGAATAATGGTCTTCCACAAGGATCGGTGCTTGCTCCCCTGTTCTTTAGCTTTTACATAACAGACATACCCGAAACTACATCAAAAAAGTTCGGCTACGTGGATGACTGGGCGCCCGCAACAACCCATAGGTAGTTTGAAATTACTGAGCAAATTCTAACAAATGCCTTGGCTATTTTTGGGAGATATTTTAGCGTTTGGAAATTGCAGCCCAATGCTGCAAAGACGGAAGTATCGTGCATCCACCTAACAACAGGATAGTCAACTACCAACTTGTGTCATACTCGACAGAACGCTAAACTTCAAAGAACATCTTATGAAGAGAGCTGCAAAACTCAGATCGAAAGCACTGGGTTCAGTGTACCCCGTCGTGGTATACTGTGCACCGGTGTGGATCAACACACCTAACGTGTTGAAGCCCATCTCAATCAAGCTATGCGTGGCACAATCAAGGCCACGCCACATAGCTCCTCCACAAATTCGCCAAGAACATGCTCTGGTCAGGGAATTGGAATAACCGGCAAACCCATAAACAGGTTTCGCTCACGAAAACCGTCTTTAAAAACGGCAGAGAAGAAAACTTTAACATGATTGAGCCGTGAAAAGAAGACTGGCAGAAGAAGGCGACACCTGCCAAGCGGGATATGCCATGCATTCCAAGTTCCAAGCAAGCCAGAGGTTTTGATCAAACAAGACGAATCTGGACAAAACTTAATAGAATAAGGACGAATTGCGGTAGATGCTCCGACTCACCTTTAAGTTGGGGAAAATCTGAAAGACAGACCATTAAACACCTGATAGAGGTGTTAATTCCTGCATCCATCAATTTATTAATATAATAATCAATAACAGTTTTTTTGTATGATAAAATATATGGATACGGTTGAGAAAGGTGTTGTAACGATAATAAAAAATTGTTTTTGGTAAAGAAAGGCAAAACCTTTCTTCTTTTCTATTTCTTAATCTTTCCTATGTGAAAAAAATTTTAAAGAAGGAAGAAAGCAATTATTTCCAAAATAAATTGTTTACGAAGATGAGTAGTTCATGCATAAGAGTTACTTTCAGATACAAACTGTGAATAATGATATCTGACTCAATTCCATAACGAATATTTGGAGTACAAACTGAATAGGAAAAAGTGAATTTTGTATAATTCCATGTTCATATAAAAGTAGTTGTTTCGAAAGTATTTTTTCTTCAGTGTAAATGTTTATATGGAAGTAGTTGTTTCGAAATGGGTTTTTTCCAGTTTTCATCTGAAATTAACTTCTGAGCATGATCTTCACTGTTTTGTTAAAGGTTTATTTTGAAATTATTTGCTTTTTTCCTTCCTTCGGAAGTAGGAAGGAAGAAAGCAGGAGAAGATGGAGAAGTAGAAAGCCAAAACATTTCTTTTCCAAAATCGTATCTCTTCTAAAAATATGCCCTATTTCAATTTGAAAAAGTACTGCATTTGTTACAATTGAAAAAGCCTGGCAACGCTGCCACTGACAAAAGTATGCCACTGGTATGTGGTAGGGATGGTGATATGATAGCATAGCACAGATGATAGTGTATTTTGATTTTCAAATCAGTTATGGGTATTTTTATTGTGTGGAGGGGTACCTATGTGTTTGTAGATAGTAGATAACGTACCAGTGAGAGAAACAAGAGCATTTCAAGTAATAGATAACTCCTATTCATCAATCTTTGAATAGATCAATGAGGAAAGAAAGGTATGTTCTGATATTGTATTTCCTTCAAACATGTTTGTAACAATGGGATTATTCCTCAAATGAACATTAATATAAAATAATTTTTTTTTCATTTGTAGGTTGAACTCAACTCTGTGATATATACTTTCACACGATCCCTAGAAGTCTGAAATCGTGATGAATGATTTCAAACCAAAATTTGTGAAACCTGCGGATACTTCTAGCTTCCTCGAGAAAAATGAACCATTTACTATAGACACCTCGAACTTCATTTATAATAGACACATCTCTCAATCCATTCAAACTCAGAGACAACGGTTACCCATATTCAACAACAGAAATCATATTCTTTATTTACTAGAAAAATATCAAACTCTTGTTCTTGTTGGAGAAACTGGCTGTGGGAAAAGCACTCAAATTCCGCAGGTAAGTGAAGAAATCTTTTAATAAGTCTTGGGAGATTTATATTTATATATCCAACTAAACCAAGAAATTGAATACATATATTGAACGTAAATTGATAACTAAGAAGGTGTTTAAAAATATCACATAACAACAGATACAACAAATAGAGTATGTAATATAACATAATATATGACTCTTCCATTTTCTGAATTCAAATTTCGAACTAAAAATTCTAACTTCTTTAGCAGTTGTAAACATACACACATACGTAATGAAATACCTACAACATTTTTACTTACCAGATGTTAATTTAATTCTTGGAGTAGTTGGATATAAGTGGTATGTGTGATTCCCATAATTTGATAGAAGCACACTTTGAATAAGTACTGTGATAATTCTCCATTTCATTATAAGAAATATGCTAACTGAAGAAATATACCATCAGGACGATAGTTAATGTTAACTAATGAAATTCATTTTTCAGTATGTTATGCTTAGGGATGCTCCAAAAGGGAGCATCTGCAATATAAGTATCTATATATTTTCAGATAGGCAAGCAGCTCCAAAAACTCTGAAGTTATATAGTTTCGAATCTAAACTCACTTGAGATCAGTGGGAACCAGCATTCCAAACACTGTTCAACTAAGTATGAATATTTGAACTTTTTTTTGGTTAAAATGTCCTTACGATTGTGTAGGATGTAGAGGAGAAATACTTTCTGTGACCCGAAACATTCTAAACCTCTTAGGGGAAGTTTAGAAGTCATAATGTACATGCAATGCAGAGTCCTGAATGGATAATTTCATTCATCTACAATTACTAACTTGTAATATAAAAGGTGTTTCAGAATTAAGATGTTAAACTTCTTAACTCAACTTAAAAAATGTTTTTATCACAAGTAACTTTTAATTACTTCTTCAATAAGTTAATGCAATTAATCACACACCCACTAGGCATCAAAAGTGTGTAGAATATTTTTACCAGGGCGTCCGTACAGAAATGTAGACAAGGTATTCTAATAACCCCCATTCATAAAGACTGTTTAGGTTTGGAAATGGGTGGCCAAGATTGTGATCCTGCACCGTCTATAGAACAATTTGTGTTCTTGATTTTAAAATTCCCGTACCTGGAATAAAATAGGGATGCCGTCTAGCAAATTCAGTAAATTCTGTTTGAAAAACTGGCGTTAATTATTTCAGTTTAATCTACCTGATAAAAAATAAGGCCCATTTAAATAATTTTCAATGATTCCAGCTCATACATCTATAGAGAACTGCACTTGGTTTGATTCCACGGTGCCATGTGGGTTTTATACCATTCAGAAAGGGTTGTGAAAATTTCTCGTGGTGTTCCTGGAAAAATTGACATCAAATTGGAGATTTTTGGCAACTATAACCATTGCCAGAAATTTGTTCGTAATAGAAAATCCCGAGAAAGCAGGGCCTCGATTCCTTGAAATAATTATCTATCTTAGGCCTTAGATAGGGTTGACCACACTATATTCTTAAAAAAAACTTGGAATATTTCGGAGTAAGAGGAGTTTCCTTGAAACTGATACACTCTTGCATAATAAATTGATTTCAATACTTAATAGAAAGAGATGAAAAAAGAAAACAAATAAAATATTAAAAGGAAAAAATATAATGTGGGGGTTCCACAAGGCTCCATATTTGGGCCACCAATGTTTATTTTACATATCAACAGCTTGCCTTTTATAGTTGACCAAAAAACTATCCAATATTCAGCGACATAACTGGAAATGATATAAAAAACAACATATCAAATTCTCTGAACATATTAAAAAATTGGTTTGGAATGAATAGTAAGCAAATAAACTCATGAAATTTTCAAATACGCAGTAGAATGACTCTTTTTCGCTACTCCATGATGGAAATGAAATTACAGCTGCTCCACATTTAAAATTATTATGAACCACAATAGATCCTAGATTGCATTGAAAAAAATATGTACCAACTAGCACAAAGTATGGCAGGCTATTGCTATGCACTTAAGTTATTGGCTCAGTCAGTAAACATAGAGGTTGTATTAACTGCGTATCTGTTTAAAAAATCTGTTTTTCCGTTAACCAGCTGTCGCACCCCTACGAACGACAACCCTCAGAAGTCGAAACTTGTGCGAGCTAAGGACTTACGAGATCTTACCTTTTAACGTGTGATTCCTAACATGGGTTGGACGATAGCAAGTGAAAATCGATCGTTCAGACTGGGGCTTGAAGCACCAACTAACACGGCAGTCAATTCGAGTGAGTGAACAAAGCACCCACGTCGAACCGCCTGGCTACCGACCGTCATGCATGTTATATTAGAAAGCTACATAACATGCATATATCCAATCTTGTGTTGAATATGGAAGTTAATTATTCATATTAAAAGCTAATTACATAACAGTATCCCTATGTAGTATGCTTAGATCTTTAAAACCGCGGAACGGAGTTTGATGCGTTTTTTTTTAATAGATAGAGTGATTCAAGAGGAAGGTTTATATGCATATAACATGCATAATATAGCAGAGAAACTGATAATTTTAGAGGTATCTAATGTGATGTCTTAAATAAACATATTTTTTTTGCGCTTACATTGGCAAACGCTACAAATTAGATCAAAAAATGTAATACAGTATTATATACCTTAAAGAATTGTACAAAAAAGTTCGCGATGGTATATGACTATCTCTCGGAGATAACCCACTGTAACCATTTTTATTCTTATTACGAAGCGATTTTAAGCAATACAGCATTAATCCTCATCCATTAAATAATTGTGTATTCATTATAGATCAATATGGCCCTTTACAGCATGTAATTGAAATGAATATTTTCGAAGATATTACAAATTTTAAATGCAGGGACATAGCGATTGCGGCGGTATCGGTGGCGCGTGCCTATAAATACCGCGTCAAAGGCCGCACTTCGCTCTGTAGAAATTTGTGATTAGCAGCGATCGCACGTGTTTATATGTATATTTAAAATCAGCATGGCACCCGTGCGGTGCCGGATCGGCTTGCTAGTTTTCAATATATATATGATAATTTCATAGAATGTTATGTATCAAAGGTAAAAACACGATTTAATGTGGAATCTTAGTTTATGAGCTATTATATTTCCCCTTTTGGGTTATCACTTCTCTTATTTAATCTTCTTTTGTCTATAATCTGTTTATATTAATGACATGTTTTACACCTGCTTGGGTATGGTGTGCTTATTTCAAATATGTTTCAAATATCCTGTTTCACATAACTTTCCATAAGTTTCTGATATCGTTCGTGCTTGCGAATCTATTCTGTTTGGATAAAGCTCTTGGTATAGTGGTCTGACTTCAAATGCATTACCATCAGCAAGCCCATAGAGAAAATACATATCAGCAAACTAAGCAGTTGTAAAATTTACTATAATAGTTATGGTTTAAAAAGTATCAGGTTTTTTAAATTTTAATTGAGTTAAAATCCGAGTACTTGAATAAATATCAGTCAAAACTGTTTGACATCGCCATTGTTTCCTTAGCAATAAAGTTTATTACCCAATAAATGCTTTTTATTCATTTCAAATATCGGATATTATCAATAAATTGATTATACGAAAATATCGTTTTTATTTTTTTACGCAAAAATTAAATGTCAGGCAAAAAAAAATCAAACAGTCAAATTTGCCCTAAAATGAGTGAGGATTATAAAAAATAGTTTTTATTTCAAGGAAATGAAGTGGCGTACATTATTTCCAATAATATATTGTCTACAATCCTGTGTGAATGCCACTGGTTAAAACCTTTAAAACTTTCTAGATCAAAAAATGATTGTTTATGCTCAGGAAGCGCTGAATTTCGTACACAGAAAGTTGAAGTTACAGTGAAAAATATTTTTTGTCAGATTTCAACACCCTGTATCTGAAATGTTAAGGGGTTTTCAACTTTTATTCTTAAAATCAGCTTAGGATTGTCATTTTATTTTGAAACATCGTGTAGATTTAAAAAGCATGTATAGTGTGAGCAGAAATAAGTAATAAAGATCTTGACTCTTATAAAATACATATAGTATTTCTATGTAAAACTCTGCTGCAATTATATTCAAGAAAGTTGATAACGACAAATTCTCTACTGTAAAAATATCACATGTTCTCTAAATTATTTAATAACAAGGTTATTGTCACAGAACTTACTACAAGTGTAGTTTCAGATCTTGAATAAGGAATGCATTACTTCATACAGAAAAGTATATTCAAAAAACACCATTGTAACATTTTTGTTTTACTTCTAGGTCAGTGGCCTCAACTCCTCGAGTGTATTTTAGCTGTTTATCATCAGTACCCCCATTCTTTGTTTTTTAAAAGATAAGGCAGTTATTTATATTTCATTTCAATATTCCAAAACTGAACAATTTTAATGTGTATTGTGGCCTAACCTTTTTACAAAATCTATCTTGGGTAGTTTGAAAATGATTGGTCCTTCATCTCAAATAAGCAAACTTTTATTAACCTTGCTTGTCTTATTAATCTATTTTTTTCTGTACATGGATTTCAATTTATACATGAGAATTCAAAATTATCCTTTCGAAAGTGATGATAATAGTAGCGTTAATTACAAAGATGTTACCTGGGTCAGTTGCACTATAAACCCCCTCTGTGAAGTTACAGTAAAAGCTGTTCTTCTGGATCATACCAACTTCTATTTGTTTGCTCCCTTGGTCCAAATCATGGATGATATTCTAAAAATAAGTGATACACGATGGATAACTCCTAACTCTATAAGTTTCTTTCATATATTTGTTGCTTTTCTCAGTGCTAAGTGTATTTCCAGCAATAGTCTGGCTTACAGAAGAGTAGGAGTTATTCTCTTTGAATTTCGAACATGGTTGGATGATTTAGATGGTCATGTTGCTCGAGTAAGGAAACACATTAAGGGAGAACGTTCTGAAATAGGCACCTCAGGTTATTACATTGATGGTATATGTGATGCCATTGGATGTACCGCTTTGATAATTGGCATATTCATTTTTTTGAAAAATAACCCTCCTAGAAGAGGGTATATACAGCTACCTACCACGGTAGATAGTAAGGAACCCAATATTGTGTACAGTTTTAAAGTGACCATAAAGAAAGTTGTGAGAAAAGTTTGTTGTTTTTCTCTCCAACTCATTATAAGTTCCACAGCGTGGAATCGATACATAGCCATATACCAAGATTTGTTAGAACGTAGTGATTTGTCACTGAAAGAAACAGTGCGACAACATGATGTTTTCAAAACTTCCTTTTTTTTCCTGGTAGCGTGGCTATGGCGAGTAGTGAATGTGCACAGCCTAACACATTTATTGTTGCTTTCTATATTTTGTGATAAATTATGGGAGTTTTTGAAAAATATACAGTATTTAGGTTATGGCATATTGTTAACCGTGATATGTCTTACAGAAATTAATGTTATTGATGTAAAGCATTTTATATTCCACAAATTGAATGGAACTAGTACTATATAGGTCTATGTTTTTGTGAGCTGTTATTGTTTCATTGTGTGATATTTTTCAGTAGGCGCCTTTGGTTTTTGCCTAAAAATCATTACTTGCCAAATAACCTTGTTGAACTAAGTTATATAAGGGACTGATATAAAAATTTTCTATAGAAATCAGCCATCTATTGATATCAGAAAAAGCAAGTTGATACATTTTTTATTTTTCTACTTATGATGTTTATACAATTGGGTTCATAAAAAGCTGGGGGTTTTCTAAAATTACGCTTATTTTTATTTTTTATTGTGTTCATTGTTGACAATAGATACTTAAAAAATTATGTATATTGTTTTACTAGCAGTTATTCAGATCTTCAGTGATATACTATAATAAAAATGATATTTTAAAACTGGAACATACCCTAGTTACTGATAAGATGAAATTTTCGTCAAATAGTAACCAAACATCTTGTTTATGAGTTCGCAAACAATTCAATGGAGTCATGAACATCGTTACTCAATATAACAGTAAAACATTTTTTTTTTCTATATTTTTTATGAATCTATATTTTATATTATGTGAGTTATACTGAGTTCATTTTCAAACCACTACATTTTCTAACCACTCAACATAGGTCTTCATTTTGGAATATTATTCATTGTAGGAATTATAAGGATTATAATTTATATATTAATTATGATGATTTCAGCAAAAATAAATTACAGTTATTGTGCCTAATAAACTATTCCTACAGAAACATCAATACAATGCAATACATTTCAATCTGCAATTCAATTTATTGCTTCAAATATAAAAGAAGTAACAACGAGAGTATTTGAATTTGTGTAACTATTTCAAAATTACTTTTGTTAGTTTTGTTATATTTTCCTTAAGTGTACTTCATGATAAATGTTTTGTAACACAGGTGATAGGCGAGAGATTAAGAAAAAATAATTATCTTTCCAAGATTTGGTTATACAGACTGATATGAACAATATCGTGTATTGATGATTGAACTAGCAGTGATAGAATAGAGATAATTGCTGAATCACATCTCGTTTAAAAATTATTTATACTCCTGTCCAATTTCATTTAACTCCACATATTTGTGAAGGAAATAAAAAAACTTGATAAAGCAGTACATAATCTGTTTAAAAAATCTGTTTAAAATCTGTTTTTCCGTTAATCAGCTGTCGCCCCCATACGAACGACAACTCTCAAAAGTTGAGAACTTGTGCGAGCTAAGGACTAACGAGGTCTTACCTTTCAACGTGTGATTCCTAACACGATTGCAGAATCATTCCAGTTTCAACCAGATGAATTTTCTCGAGAAAAATATTTGGTCAAGGCGGGAATCGAACCCACGATCTTCCGATCGTGAGTCAGGCGCACTATCACCGCGGCCAATTCCACAACACAATCAACAAGTAATACTTCCAATCACTGTATGATCTAAAATACTGTTAAAATATGGAAATACTTCTCTTGATAGATAAATGCTTTTCCAAACTAAGTATATATTGATTTTTTACTTGATGAAATGTATAATGTATATTTTTATAAAACTAGTCTTCAGGGTGTATTAAGTTTAAAATATATAAGAATTTTACACAGATGATGAAAATCAAGTAGTTACGAGGATGCCTTATAAAAGTACCCATAATTACAAATCTTTTATATTTTTTGTTGTATTTAGAGTTACGTTTAGGCAATGGGAAAGCAAATCAGGCTTTCAACAACCTTTGTGTTAATTATTGCATCTTTCCACGGTTTCAATAATTGTTTTCCAGTATTATCTTCATTTTTTCTTGATATTTTACTATCGCACCATAAAATTCAAAAATGTAATTTTTTATCTCATTCGATCAAGATAAAGAAATCAATTCAATTAATTTTTCGTGAAAGGTATAAACGTATTATTTATGTAATAGGCAATTGGGAGTTGTGGTCTTTCTTTTATTTAAGATAATGTTGACAATTATTATTTTATAAAAAAATGGTGTTTTTTGAATGCTTAATAAAGCACGCTTTTTGGACTCGGGTTTTTTATTTTATCTTCAATCCCTTCTACAGTACATGATCGAAGCTGAATGGCCCGGTCAAATTGGAATATGTGAACCACGAAGAGTGGCAGCTATTTCTTTAGCTAGCAGAGTGGCCGATGAGACTGGAACCCTAGTGCAACAAGAATATGTGGGGTACGCTGTTAGATTTGATGCTTGTTACAATAAACCGAAAATTAAGGTAGGTCCCGTACATAACGAAAATACCTTACAGATATAGCATATATTTAGGATATATTTGAAAGACATTTGTAAGATATCTTTCAAAAGCACCTTTCAGATACATTTTGAAATCATCTTAAAAAGGCAGCTGAAATTTTTGAAACAAAAGAATTGTAATATAGGTGTAATGTCAGTAGGTATGTGCCTGGACTATACTTGTATAAAAAGTTATCTGTGATGTCCTTGGACAGGGCTCTGTGATTTGGTATTTTTAAATTGGGAAATATAGTTATTGAATGAACCTCGAAGGTGTTTCATTGGGATGGATGAGAGATATCACAATAGGTGACTTATATTCCGGTAGCATTAAAAACATTGAGCTTTTGGTATCTACAACTGAATATTATTATTATTGAATTACTTACAAAGTACCTCTTCCAATGCTGTACATATATTTGGTATGTTCGCTCTCTTATAGTCTCTCCTTCTGTTTTTGTTTACTCCACGGTATTTATTTTTTCTAGATTATTTATTGATACCTGATGTCTCTTCTTATAGAATCTATTCGATCTCCTCACATTGCGTTCTCCACGTAGTAGCGTCAATGTATACATAAAACAGTCAAAATTTGGAAGTCCTCAGAATCAACTCCAATTTTGATATTTTTTCAAATTTTGTTTTTTATATTATTCAAAATCAGAAACCATATAAATACTTGTTTGACAAGTATTTATATTGTTTGAACTCACTTCGTCTTGGGTTTGTTCCGAGATCTGACTATTTATAGGTCATTCGAGTGCTTTCACCTATCCCCTCTTCCCTCTGTCTGCTTCATTGATTTTAGCGGGAGATGACCGTTTGGCGGGAGTTGGTCGTTTTCCGCTTGATTAGAGGTTTCCATATGTTACGTATCTCTACGCTAGCTTGGCTAAATGCGTTGTTGGACAACATAATTCTAAACGTAAACGTAAAATTTCAAACGAAAGTTTCTGTTCCTTTTTTTTAATAAATCTTTGTCATACACCGACCCAAAATTTACGCAGATACGATTTCTCCCACCGGCCATGACTCAGTCCGGTAGCTGTACTATTCATTAATATTTCGTATTGTTTAATAACATTTACTGACTTCCGGAATTATATGCACAGAAGAAATAAATCTTTCATTGTTCAGATAGTATCTACCAGATAAAAAAATTCCAGGCCCAAGGCCAGACGCTCAACTAATTCATTCGCTAATTGGAATAGGTATATAGGTATATCAGTGCTCATTATTTAGAAAAACATTTTTGTTTATTTAATCAGTGTAGACATGTATGATATAGAAGGTATAATAATATATACATTATTCATTAATACAGTATTCTGAATATAATTTAAGATATTAATGGTTTTTAAGGTTAATACATTCATACATTGTCAGCTATTTAACATTTTTTTGGAAAAATTATTTCGAATTTCAGTTAGTCATTATTTTAATTTATATGTTATAGAAACAAACATGTTCTGTACATTCCACAGAAAGCTTGAATTGTATTTGTGAACAAGGTGAAAATAAAGATACTCCGGGTACCTACCTCTCAACTCAAGTGAAAGAGAAATTGACTGAAGTGACTCAGGGACGGCCGACTTTAAAAACTATCGCAATTAACATAAAAATAACAAACTCATTAATTTCTTTAATTGCGGAAAAAAGTGTTTGTGCATTCCATTTGTCGGAAACGATTTACTGAGCATAAAAAAAAGTATTGCAGCTGAAATAAAAAAAATGGAACTTTGTGAAAAAGCATCTCTCAGTCCAACAAAATGAAAGTTAACAAAATATTCCTTTGAATGGGATGAACATTGTTTAATTTGTGCCAAAACGTTATTTCCACAAAAAAGTTAAACATCACGACAATGTGTCCCTTGTTACTTCATATCGTACGAAACAAAAATTACTAGATGTTATCAAAAATTCAAGAGATGAGAACTACGCTGTCGATTTCTAAGTTGCCCCCGAATCTAAGTAATAAGGAAATCCCCTTCTTTTGGGGTTGGGTTATTCATATTCTCACGTTCTTGAAAGTTCATATTGCTTATCAATAATTCATTCTTCATTATTTTCGAATACGACGTTTTCATGCGTTAGATGACAAATCGTTTGAAGGTCTATTCTTGAATCACTCGTCGTTTGCAACGTTTGTGCAGGGGATGTCTCAGTGAACGATTTCTGAGAAATTGGTATTATCGAGAAATTCGTACTCTCGCATTTAGAAACCTCCTGTGATATAGTACGCGCCAACTAATATGAGTCAGCGCAGAAACGTAAAATCGTTCTGTGAGTCATAATTCGCTAATGTACTATTGACAACAGTTTGTGTGACCAATAGCTATCTTCTGGGTCGGGTACAATTTGGTTTTGAATGCGCATCAAAATCTCATCTTAGTTGGCGCCTACTATATTGTTATCTCATAGAAACAATTCAGATTTTCTCCCACAAGTTGGAATGACAAATCTAGCACTTCATTGTGTATCGGCATAAAATAATCGATCAATAAAACTACATCAAGGTTACTGATTACCTGATTACGTACACCAGACTAGATAGAATTGTAATTAAATTTTGAGTATTTATAGTAACTGAGAATTGGGAGAGATATTCCATCAGAACATATACAGTTCCATTAAACTTTTTTTTCTGCTTAAGGAAAATGTTTAATCGCAACTAAAAGAAAATCCGAGAATGCAATAAATATTTAATAAAATTATTTCGTCATTAAATTCCGAGTTGTAACTCGGAATACTGATAATTTCCGATATAAAATTAGGATTCTAATAAAATTACAACCTTAAATTCGGAATTGGGCGAATTTTATTTTAAGAAAATCTGTAGCCCATCTACGCCTTCGTAGAATAGTAATAGTAGAAGATCCGATTTAAAAGCGACTTTCGCACCGATATGTTCAATCGATGAAGAGTATTTTTCTGATTGATTCAGCCATTACTTGATGGAGATCCATAGAAGCTACTGTGTAGCAAATGAACCTATTTTCATTTGAAGAAATCCAATCATCCAAGGATTATTGTCCTTCAGAATCAGCATTCATTTATGAAAACTATTATACTATTATATATATATATATATA